CATATGAGGGCCAGTGACACTGCCCTCCACAGCTAAGATGCTGAACAACAGCTCAACCTGGAGCTGGGCTGCCATGAGTCGCCGGCGACGGCATAGGTTGCAGCCCCTGCTGCAGTGGGTTGCCATGGGCTACCATATGTAGCTGGGAGCCAGCGTGAGCAGCCAGCAGCCAGCGTGAGTGGCCGTCCAGAAGCCAGCGACTGATCTGCCTCGCCCGGGAAGAGCGCAATGATGGTGCCAGCTTGGGCCAGTGAAACATCCTCCACAACTAGACTGAAGAACAAAAAGACAGCAACTTGTCTGTTCCCTTTCCCCCAATTCCCCAGCGCTGTTCCCATCACCCAACTCCCCAATAAAAATCTTTAAAAAAAAATAATTATATTTCTCAGCCCCCTTGTGGAGGCCATATGGAAAGTAGACTGTGACCAGAAGTAACGTATTTCACTTTCAGGCCTGGCCTATAAAAATCTCTCATTCTCTCTTTCCTTTTCCAAGGTGACTTTGAAGGCCACATTTTGGTGCTACAAGATTGAATGCTCCTGGGTCCCTGGGCTACTCCTGGAAGAAAGCCACCCAACTCACACTGGACTGTGACTCAAATGATAAATAAACTTTAGTTATGTTAACCTGTTGAGACTGTAGTTGTCCGCGATAGCCCTTAGCCTAAAATAACTCCACATCCCCTTCTAGCTATTGCCCCATTTCTATTTCCTTTAACACTCCTTGAAGAGTTGTCTGTAGTCATTGTTTCCATCATTCTCTTCTCAACTTCCTCCAATTCAGCCCTCATCCCCATCATTCCACTGATATGGGTCTTATCAAGGTAACGACCTTCATCTTGCCAAATCCAAGGTCATTTCTTTATTCTCATCTTTTTCATTCTCAGGATCATTTAACACAGCTGACAACTTCCATTCTTTCTGAAACACCCTCTGGGGCACCAGTTTTCCTACTTCACTGGCAGCTCCTTCTTCTCTACTAGTTCTCTAAGACTTGGAGGGTCAAGGGCTCTTTTTAATTTTTTTTCTCTATCTGCTCTATTTCTTTAGGTGGTACTATCTTAAATGAAATGATACTGACTTCCCAATCATTACTTCTAGCCCTGATTCCCCTTAGCTTTAGTTCTCCACCTTCAACTGTCTACTGGGATGTCTAAGTATCTGTAATGTAATGTATCCAAAACACAGCTCCTGATATTCCCTCTCAAACAAACTTTTCCTTCACCAGCCTTCCCTTTTACCTGGTTGCTTAGACCAAAAATGTGGGCGTTTCCCTGATTCCTTTTTTCCCCCTCCCATCTACATTCAATCCATTGCTAAGGCCTTTTGGTTCTGTTACCAAAATATCTTACTAAATCTGACCTCTTTTCACCATCTCCTCTGCAAAAACACTAGTTGAAACCACTTTTACTTCTCAGGCTACTGCAACAACCTCTTAACTGCTTTGCCTTCTTTCACCCTTACCCCTAGTTAGTGTATACTAACAGTTAAACACATTAGCCAGAGTAAACATCTCAAAATGTAATGTCAACCACACACTTAAAACTCTTAATAGCTTTCAGTGTGCAGCTGGAATAAAATCCATCCTCCTTACCAAGTGAGATTTCTCTTTTGCCTTTGCAATCTCTTTAGTGCATCACAGTATGGTTTAATGCTTATTCAACAGTTTCATTCTTTTCTACTTTTCTGCATTTTGTGGAAAGGATATTTTGGGGTTGGTAGGAAATTTTTGTTTTTTTTCTTTCCCAACAGTTTCAGCACTTGCACAGCAGGCTCACATTCCCCATTCTTCTTCATTTCATATACAGCAAGGGACAGTGGAAAGAGCGTGGAGCTTTGGAGTCTGACAACCCTGGGTTTAAATTGTGCTTTTCTTTTTTACCAGCATTCTGAAGTACGAACTTAACTTCTCTGAACCACGATTACCTCATCTATAAAATGAGGGTAACGTTATAAATGAGGTAAATCAACTAATACATACGAGGTTCTTAGCATATGAAGGAAACACAGGTATACTAGATTCCTTTAACACACTGAACAGTTCGTTCCTGCCGCCCACCCATGGGTATTTCTGTCAAATCCCACGAGTGTCGACCCCTCTAATCTTGAGCAGCGCGTTAAATGAGGCAGCGAACTCGCAGCGCGGACCTTAAGAGTTTAAAAGTTAGTAGGTAAAATACATGAAGTTAACTGAGTCCTCGCAATTTAGATATAAAGAGGGAAAATCAGACTGCGGGGGTCCCCGTATGCAAATACGTGAATTACACACGAATACTGGCAACAGCCGCTTCCGCACTTCACCTCGAGGGCGCTCCGCGACCGTCGCGCTGCGCCGCCGCTGCTGCGGAGGCGGAGATTTGCATGTGCGAAATCCGGAAGAGGGGGAACCACACATCGAAAACCCCGGGCCTTATTCCCCCCAGGGCCCGCCCCCAAGTACTCCCCGGCGGCCGGCCCTCTCGACGTCACCGCACCCTCCTACCCGCTTCTGAACTTTAAACCACGCGCCGAAGAACAACCTGGAGGAGGGGGATTTCTCAGGAGCTGGCGGCTTTCGCACGCTCGGGACCGTCACCTCTCGGCTCCCCGTGTTCCCTGCGTACCCGAAGATCCCGCGCTTTGGCTTCCCCGACGGGGTCCCGAGCCCACTGCAGCTCTGAGGGTGGTAGCGGGGGCGGGGTACGGGCGGGGC